CTTGACTTTCCCTAATCTGAACTGAATATCTAAATTGTACCAATAAAATTAATTAAAAATAAATAAAACATAACTCCCGTATGTAAGAATTAGAGGCTCATTTGCTCAGATACTGTCCCCTGATCTGTGCGGGGAAGCCCATCTTCCTCAGGCTCACCCAGATACCAGATTCCTGTGAAGTCTTTCCTGATTCTCTAGGCTTGGAAATAATTGTTACCTTTCACAGTTCCGCTCATCATTACTTTCTCTTTCCTGGTATTGTGTGTAACATAACTGCTGGGCAGCTTCTTTTTGGGTCAGTAGCATAGAAGTAATCAGACTTTTAGTTTGTATAGACTTTGTTTTAAGTAGGGGACACTAAAAGTCATACACAAACACTATCTTTTATGCAACTTCATAAGGATACACAGTTAATACCAAAAATGAAGGAAAGATGATACAGTATTGGAACAAAGACTCGGCCTTTACCCTGAGCAGAACACTAACTGCCTACTTTTTCATTTCACTGAAGACCAGTGAGAGCTTTGTCCTCTATTTCTCTGTCTTCTGGATTGGCATTTGGGAGCCACTATTTTAGTAGATGCTGAGCTTTACCAGAGCTGATTTATTTCTGAATCCCAATTTCTCTCTGTCCCCCTCAGAGATAATCTTGGGTTTCTAAAAGCTTGTAACAGGAAAATAACTGTGATTTGTGACACAAAAGCAACCAGGTTAGGGAATAGATTATTCAAAGATCTGGCAGTTGTCTAAAATTACTGAACAGGAAGTCACTTGCTTTTATAAAACCATGTCTGAAAAGTGTATCAAAGAGCAATAGACATGTTAACAAAGCCTGATCATTCTCAAAGAGCTAAAAATTTTGTAAAATCTGTAATTATCTCATTGCTTTTTTTCTTTAGCCCTAGAGCATAGATATAATTCCTTACATCATTAAAAACAATTAAACAATTATAGAAAAGTAATAATTTTTCTAAAATAATTTCTGACCTCAAGTTCTAGTTTATTCACTTTTTTAAAAGTAACATTTACAAAACACATTCATATGACTTTAACATTGGGGAGCAAGACACTGATGACCTTCAAACTTGCCCTTTCTAATAGAACTTTCTGTGATCATGGAATATCCCATAATCTGCACTGTCTAATATGGTATCAACAACTTCTGGGAGCTGGGGAAATGAGATTAGTGCAACGGAGGGAATACATATATATTGTATTTAAATTTAATTAACTCAGATGCCAGTTGTTAAGTAGTTCTGGCAGTCCTGACCCCTTGGCCATTTTCATGGTGGCCTCAAACATGTTGTTCAGTGTCTCAGAATCTTTCCCTTTTTGAAATACCTTTTAGTTATCACAATGACAAGTCCTCCATGTGTGCTAATTCTGCAGGACTCCCTTGGGATACCAGATTGTGCAATGTAAAGACTTCCTGCAGGATTAGGTTCACTTTTTACTTTACCTTTTTATAAATAAAGTATATGTAGTGTCTGTATTGAATTCTGCTTGTATTACATTTTAGGTTAATTTGTAAATAACAAAAAGCACATATATAAAGTGTTCCATGAGCTTTTACTTATATAATATTGTATCCCATTGTAGAATATCTATACTTATATAATACCATACAGTATTATATAACAGTGTGTAACAGTTCCATTCCCAGAAAAGTGCCCTCTATCCTTTCCAGTTAAACTTTTTGTTTCCTCCATTCTGCTACTGAGCCTATCTGCTGAATCTTTTACATTTTTCAGTTGTAACATTTCCATCTGTTGTTATTTATGACTTCTGTTTCTTTGCAGATACTTTTTATTTCTTGGCTGAAGCTATTTCTGTTGCAGGTGTGATTGGTCATTGAAACATTTTTAGCATGGCTGCTTTAAAATCCTTGTCAGATAATTCTACATCTCTGTCACCTCAATGTTGGCATCTATTGGTTATCTTTTTTCATTCAGTTTGAGATTTTTCTGGTTTTTGGTTTGGGGTGATTTTTTGATTGAAATTTGGATATTTCACTTCATATTATGAGATTGGATTTTATTTAAACCTTCTATTTTGGCAAGCTTTCTTTAATGTCACTCTGGGCAAGGAAAAGAGGGGATACCACCTCCCTGCTACAGGGTAGAGAGAACAACACAGCTTCCTGACTTAACCTCATTTGGACATGAGAGCTAGGGCATCTTCCTTGTGGCTAGGTGGTGGTGAGAGTCCTGACTCCTCACCCAGGAAAGAGGGTTCACGTCATCTTGCCTGACTGGGGAGAGAGGCAGAGTCACACTGCCCCGTGATCTCAGTGGACGTTATGGTGATGGGCAGGTGGCCTGATTACCATTGGACAGATGTGAAAGTCTTTGCTTGCTACTTGACCTCGTATGGCTCTACCTTGTTGAGCACCTCGTTACAGCCTAGTGTGAAATCTCTCTACCGAGCCTCTGTGAGCATGGATGGTAGGATCACATTTTTTTCTGTAATGTTTGAGTAAAGCAACTATTGTTGGTAAAAGTTCTATCTTTCTAGGCTGACCCTTCCTGGCCCCTTGGCTAGGGAGAGCAGGGTTTCGTTGTGTCTTGCCTTTTGCCTGTGTGCATTGGCATTTCCAGGTCGTGGGCTTCTTCAGCTCCAAGTCTGGAGTATATGGGACAAGGAACTCACATCCATGTCATTCCTCAGCCCCAAGGTCTTTCGGTGGTCTGGCTTCTCTCTGGTGTTTGGTCTTCTTATATCTACCCTATCTGTAGTCCCATCATTTTCATTTTTACTTAGTGGGATTCCATGTGAGAAAGTCAGGGTAGATCACATGTAATAAAAGGAAGTCTTATTCATAAAAAACTAGTTTATTGCCCATCTGTGGATGCAGGTGTATTCATACACTGATTCACAAGGTGAAATGTGTTTCTTTCGGCATCATGGTTTAGAAAAGCCAGTGTAGATCACTGATCACAATCTGCTCTCCGAATCTCCTCCCTTTGTGTCTATTTACCCTTGTCTTCTCATGAATGAGCAGAATTAATGTACGTGTTCCTTAGAGATTTGTAGGAAGCCTTTTGTCCCTCTCTTGATGCTGAAATATGGAAGTTAAGCATCCTTTTACTATCTTCTCTGTTTAGATTGTGTAGTCCAGATACATGGGCAGGATGAGTGAATGTTTGATGTGATGATTCCACTTAAGTATTCTTTAGGGAACAGATTCCCTTATAATGAACTACCTTACAAAGATGAAGCTGTCTCTGTAGACAGGCAGACCGGAGTGCGTGTGGATCGTGTGGCTAAGAGGACACAGTGTCCCGACACAGCTGCATGTGGTTAGAACATCTGGCTGGGAAAGAGTCACCTGGGCCCAGCTGCAGTGGCCACACCATTGTCTTCTGGGCTACCAGACTCATGAGGACAGCTGGGTGTGCTTTGTGGGTTTAGTCCTTCACCTGCCATGTTATTTCTTCCCCTCTCATTCATGGATGGAACGAGCTCCTTCTCTCTGACCTTTGGCATGGAATAGGAAGCCGTGCATTACTGGTTAGGCTTCTGGGGATGGATGGGCTCATCTTTTAAAGCTGCAGAATTACACATCTGGGAATTTGTTTTTTAGTCCTATCATGTTTGATAGGGAGAAAAGGAGTTCTGCCCATATTTACAATTTGAAGCTTCACCATGTATATATAAAACTACATATAGCCGACAAAGGAAAGGCTTGGAGATCGTATTCTAGTGCCTCATAGATGGACCCAAAGGATAAATACAGTTGAGTTCATTGAAAATGCCTGGAAGTGGAGGTGTGTGGAATAAATCAGAGGCAAGTTCTATGGAGACTCGTGAGTTCTTCCTCCCTGTCACTAGGGTGGAGGGGCTGGGGCTTTTGGATTCTAGGGTCCTCCAGGATGTAATTGTACTTTTCTTCAGAGCAAGGATCAACCACTATTTTCTATACAGGGCCAGCTGGTAAATGTTTCAGTCTTTGAGGGTCATAAAGTCTCTGTCACAACTACTTAGATCTGCTATTGTACTACAAAAGCATAGACAGGCAAAACATAAATAAGCACATCTGTGTTCCAGTAAAACTTCATAAGCTGGTTGTAGTGGTGCATGCTTATAATCCCAGCACTCTGGGAGGCTGAGACAGGAGGCTCTCAAATTCTTGACCAGCCTGGGCAATTTAATGGGGCCCTGTCTCAAAGTAAAATAAAAAGGGACTGGGATACAGATCCTTGCAGAGGCCCTGGGTTCATTCCTGAGTATCCACATGCATGTGCACGCACACACACCCACACACAGACACCCACACATTATTCAGGGACATTGAAATTTGAATTTTCTATAATTGTCATGTGTCACAAAATATTCTCCTTTTTATTTTTCCCAATCATTTGAAAATGTGAAAACCGTCCTTGGGTCACAGCCACGTGGGAAGAGCACAGGCTGGATTTGGTCAGTGACCCGTCCTTTGTTGACCCCATCCTGGCACTTGTTGGCAGGAGAGGTTCCTTTGCCCAAGGAGACACAGTACCCTCCTCTGTGAGTCAGACCCAAGCCTGTGTTCCTGAGATAAACACAGGGTGTGTTTTCATGTAGAAGCATCAATGATATGATAGCCAGGGACACATTCCCACTCATGCATGCAAAAGCTTTTGTGTGAATGCTCTAGGTTGTGTTCTGGTACCAGAAGGCACCCAGCGGGAGTAAGAGTTTTGATCTTAGGTCTTCACCAGGTTATCTTGATTGATTGATTGTTGTGTCATGGTTACAACATACGTTCTTAGTGTACTCTTTCCTTGCTAAGCTAATACTAATCCAACTTCTTAGTCATCATGGCAGTTATGAAACCTGGACCAGAATATTTTCCCAGGATAGAATTTTTCTTTTTTTTTTTTTTCTCCAATCTGAAGAGCTAAGCAATCATATGTTACTGGTTAAATTGGAATCAGGTCATTTTTTCAGTGGTCCATTTGAAAGTTATAGAAGACCTGACTCAGTAACCTCACAAGCAGGTGATTACTTTTCTCTCACAGGATCAAGATCGAAGGTGGGCAATTAAAAGCAAAGACTGAGGAGCCCAGTGCTGGCAGAACCAATGTGCCTGTGCCTTCTGATGTCCTCCCTTGTTTGCAGCCCTGTGGTCATGGAATATCTATAGCTGCTCTACATGTCACGTCTGTGTTCTGGGCAGAGAAGAGAGCAAGGTGACATCAATGTCTGTCCTCATTTGTCAGTCCAGTACACACTCTCCCATCAGACTTCTGCTTAGCCGCTTGTAGCTGCAAGGGAGGCTGTGAAATTGAGTATTTGGCTATGTACCTTGTTTGTAGGAGATGGCAAAGAGGAGCGTGTTGGGAATGCATTTTGATCAGGAATGTCTGCTACAGAGAGTTAGAGACCTTTTGTGAAGCCCAGATTACTTCTGGAGGGTAGCTTCTGCTGAATTTGAGTCCAGGAGGTAATGAATGGGCCATGGATTAATCAGATATCTGAAGGATATCAGCTATGGTATGCTACCTTCTTATCTGAGGAATCAGAGAAGAAGAGCCATGCCCTCCAGAACTTTATCACTAATTTGAAGTAAGACATATAGGAGTTGTAAACAATCTTGGTTCTAATAACTAATGATGGGGATTAGAATATATTTGTTTCTAAGATGACTCATTTAGCAACATTTATTGGGTGGTGAATATGTACAGCTATTTAGGCTTTGTAGATACACAAATGAATAAAACATTCTCTGCTCTGAAATTGGCAGTCAAGTAAATCAGTTTTGGGGCAGCATTATGGTGCTGTGATTTTTTAACATATTTTTGGGTAATTATACAATTAGATTGGAAACAGTCTGTCTTTGCTTTTCTGATAAACATATAAGTAATTAATAGACAGTGGCAATGAGTAGAATTAAATGAGTGTCTATCATATCTGCACTCGTGCTACAAGTGATAATTGAGTACCTACTGGAAGTTAGTTACTTGACAGTAAGTTCCTAAAGTGCAGTAAGATGCAGTCAGCTGCTCCCAGGGGCTCCTATTCATAGACAAGGTTGACATAGGAGCAAGTATTTGCAATGCATGGTGCATACACATAGAGACACATACAGATTTTCTAATATGAAAAAGGAGTGAATTGTCAGCATTGCTTAGGAGGATGTACAGGGTTCAAGATCGGGTAAAGCTCTGGTGGAAAAAAGAGAAAATTAATATTTCCTGAAAGGGTTATCCATGCAAATAATGGGAGGGAAGAGTACGTTATGAAAAGATCTGTTCTGTCAAAGCACAGAACACTTCAGGAAGCTGCTAGAACTTTCTACCTGATAGATTTTGGGAGTGCTGCCTGTCAGGTACTTAGCTAGTTCATCCTAAGGTTCTACTGGGAAGTGATTGTGCACTGTCTCCACTCAAGACAAAGCTCTGTCAGGGTGTAGGCACATTGACCTTGAGCAGGGCCCATCCCTTGGTTTACAAGGTGGGGATGAGAAGGATTGGGAAGTTGAGTGACTTCTTGGAGAGTCAGATCCATTTGTCCTTTAGGGTGATTGCAAAGATGCCAGGGAGCCCTGGGCTCCTCTAGCATCATTGTGAGGAAGCAAATCAAGGCCTAGAGTGTCCTTAGAGTCTGCTCCTGTAACCCAAATCACATCCATAAGGACCGCTCCGAAGCTGCCCCTGGGAGGACCAGGCTGTCTTCTGCCCATCAGCCTAGGGGGCCTTTGGGAGAAAATTTCCTATCCAGGAGAATTCAAAGGAATCTACTCTTTACCACCATTATTATTCTTTTCTATGTATGTAATAGGAATAATAACAACAAAATGATGTATTCTAGCTGAAAATCATTATGGGATTATGGATGAAGAAACTGGAACTTTTTAATTAAAATTATCTTTGGAACTTCTCTTTCCACTGTGGGGCAATGTAGGGGCTTAAAATAAAAGGGAGTGGGGTTCTGTTTTTAAGTTTTACTTTTTTTATTGTAAAAATACACGACATGTTATTTCGTCCACCTTGAAGAGTGCAGTCCAGTGGCGTTAGTACAGCCGCACCGTTTGTAACCATCGCCCTTGTCCGTCATCAAAGCATTTTCATTGTCCCAGACCAAAGGGTGTGCATCTAAGTCTCAGGAGCTCTTCATTTTCTCTCTGCCAGCCCTGGGTAACCACTGTTCTGTTTTCTGTCTCTATGAATTTGGCTACTCCTCAGAGTACCTTAGAACCTCATCTAAGTGGAGTCATACTGTATTTGTCGTTTTTTTTTTTTTTTTTTGGACCAGAGATCGAACTTGGGACCTTGTGCTGGTGAGGCAGGTGCTGGAACCACTGAGCTAAATCCCCGGCCTGTAATTGTCCTTTTGAGTCTGGCTTATTTCACTTAGCATATGTCTTCAGTGTTATCCATGTTGTTTGTATACATCAGGATGTCTTCCCTATTTAGAGCTGAAAAATATTTCACTGAATGTATATATTACATTTATCTATTGATCCATCGATGGACATTTGAGTTGTTTTGACCTATGGCTTACCAATACCCTCTGTTCTTTTTCTCCATAAATTCCCCCTTTCCCCCATCCACTGCCCATCAAATCAGAGTCTCATATGTTCTTCACATCAGTTCATGCTGCTCCTTCCTCCTAGAAAGGTCTACTGCATTCCCGGTTCGACCTCCTTGGCTTAGGCTTCCCCTTCAGAAAGCTTTCCAGGAGTCTCCGGCTACTGGAACAAGAATCCTTTGGCTATACCACCTCACACACTCTCCTCCCCAGGGATTTCATCATCCTCAAAAAGCTCTGGGAATGAGCCAGGTGTGGTGGTGCACTCCCATAATCCCAGCGCTCTGGGAGGCTGAGGAGGGAGGATCTCACGTTTGAGCCCAGGTGGGCAGTTTAGCCATTTAGTGAGACCTTGTCTCAAAATTTAAAAAATAAATAAATAAAGGGCTTGGGATATAACTCAGCATGAAGGCCTTGAGTTTGGTGCCTAGTACTGTTAAAAAGAAAGGTTATTGGGAGTGTCCACGTAGCCGATCTGTCTGCTTCCGCTCCCACAGCTGTAGGCTCCTAGAGACAGTCTATCTCTTATTCTTGCCACCATGTCCACTTACGGGCCTGGAAATTGGCACATAATAGGCACTTAAGCATCATCTGTTGAATTGCAGCATGAACCGGAAGTCTCTCTCTATACCATCATGCCTGAAATCAGAAGGAAGCCTTTCCCTGCTAATAATACTTGTGGAAGATATCTATAAGGTGGAGGCAGAATACATTTTGTGGCTTTCTGCACACGTAGCTTTATTCTTCACACAAATATTTTAATCCTCCATAGCCGTTCCCTCCTTGATTGCAAAGCCAGTCGTTGATTTAGATTTTTGTCTTGGACTTATTTAAAACTATTTCTGACAGGCCATGCTTTGTTTTTGCTAAAATTTCATGTCCCCAGTATTTACAACCGAAACACTTTTCTAGTGGCCTCTTAACAAGGTGCGACCTTCTGCTCTTTGCTCATCCTGTGAAAGGCGCCCCGGTTTGCTTCCTCTTTTCTGTCCTCATCACTGCCCTTTCTTGTTTTCAGTAAAGTTATTTACTCAGTGTAATGGGCTCAGCCGCTCCCACTTCAACTTTGAGACTTTCTTCCCTTGTCTCAGGTCTTCCCCGCCAGTCCTGTGCCTCACAGATTTCCAGGTATTGAATTGACACGGAAGCAGTGAGTGGCCTTTACCTGACGTGCTTCCACTGTCACGTTTATTTAATTTGAATGTTCCGACAACCTGTTCTTCAGAAGGATGAATTAAAACCCCAAATGGATTTTACAAACCTTGCTCTTTAAAAAAAATGTAATAGGGACAATTTTCACTGGAAATAAATTTATATTCAAGCATTGTTTGGAGATGTTATGTTGAGGGCACCATCTTTTTTTCATGAGCAAAAACCTACTTCCCTCCAAATTGGAAGGTCCATTGCTGGTGGAAATGTAAAGTGATACATAGGTGTGGAATGTTTTTCTTCGAGGAGGGACCAAGTGACAGAGGTGCAGGAAGAGTGAGAGTCTGGTGTGATGAAAAATGAAGGGAAGAGAATGGGAGTCTTGGAAGTGACGAGCACCTCAGTGGCATTTCTAGGCCCCGGATTTCAAGGGAGGAAGCAGCAGGGGGTGGTACTGCAGAGAAAGATCAAAGCATTTTCCTTTCTTTATTAGTATCTCAATCTAACCCGTGTCAATCCCTTATCTCCCTACAGAAGCACAGCTTTTTAAAGATAATCACAATTTTAGGGTTTTAATTGAATAGTCACTGTAAGTAGGCTATTCTTTGGAGATGGAGGAGTTGATTTGTATTAATAGTAATTACCCAGATGCTCCACAGGCTTTGGCTGCTATGTTCACTTCCCATCCCTGTCTACTTTGGGCCTGGTAGTGGGTTCCCCAGTGTCCATTCTGTTCCCCTGCCTTGTTGAGTAGCTACAGTGTGGTGTGGGATTCACCGTGGCTGAAGGTCAGTTGGCGTGAAGCTGAGTCTCTCTTCACAGCCAAGGTTTGAGTTTGGTAATGGGCATGTGTTCCTTCCTGGCCAGTGAGGAAAGAAGAGAATTTGGAGAAGGTTTGGGGAAGAGAGAACCATAGCCAGTCAGCTGCTCTGTACTGCAGGATAACAACCAAAGGCTTACAGCTCTGGGTTTAGGATAAAGTTTGGGGTAAAGATGGTGCTGTGGGTGCAGCATGGAGAGAGGAAAGGAAAATCAAGGTCCTTCATGACACTGTTGAGCTATAAAATCAGCAAACTCTGACCTTGAACTGTGACTGGATGTCCTGTGGTAAAAGCTAGTATATTTCCTTATTATTTAATCCAGTTTGTATTTGTTCATCTTTAATTGAAATCATATATATCCTAAATGATCCATGATCTTTATGACCTTCTCTCTTTTGACTGTAACCCCTTTGAGTTTCGTATCCTTATCGAAGAAGTGAATATAATTATATCTCACAGAGTTTTCAAATGAAGATTGGGATTCAGAACAAAGCCTGAGGGAGGCCACGTGGACTCATACATGTTAAGTGCTAACCAGATATCAAGAAATAGACTGGCCCTTGGTTTTAGGCAGCTTAGACTAGAAGAGAAATTCACAACTAATTTTTCTATAGTGGAAATAAAATCACCTGCATGTGGATGTCTGTACAATCTGTTTTTGATATCATTCATATTTGTTGAGGGTTTTTTTTGGACATTTGTTGGATAATTACTGTTGATGAAGCAAACACTTTTTATAGGAAAACAAAAGTCCAATTTTGGGGCATCTGACGTTTGAGGAGTCTGATTTGCATTGAAATTGAGACATGGAGCTGCGTGTTTACTGCTCCGAGGTCTGTCTGAGCTGGAAGTAAAACTTGAGTGTCACAGGTGTGTTGATTGCATCAAAGGCCGAGGGACTGGATGGTACCTGTTAAGGACAAGTGAAGAATGCAGAGAAAGCACCTTACCTCATTTCTGGAAAGCCGTTTTGCAGTATAACCTTCCCTATAAAGTGTTTTTTAGAAGCAGGCAAAGAAGAGGAAACTGGCCTGGGTGGAGTGTTGAGTAAAGGGCAAAATTTTAGAATCACAGAAGCAGGCTGGGGGAAGAATGCCTCCGGGGGAAGCCGATGATGCCAGGTGAAAGGTGGTCAGTGAGTTCAACTCCTGGGAAAGACTGGGGGCTCTCAGGTCCCCAAGACAACAGGGAAGGGGCTGAGAATGGGAGTTACCTGAAGGGCTGAAGGCCAGGCGAAATAGCTCACCATCGGAGACCTCAGAACATCTCCGTGTGCAGCATACACACCCGCACACACCTGCCCACATGCGCACACCCACTGGCCATGCTTTCTGGCGTGGTCTAGGTGTAACGTGTGGTTCTCGTAACAGCCACTGCTACTTCTTGACAACACCTCGTACATAGGAGGGGCTTCTATTTTGGCTTATTTTTTATGGTACTGGGGCCTTTGCGCTAAGCTGTATCCCCAGCCCTTTTTATTTTATTTTTTATTTTGAGACAGGGTCTCATTAAGTCTTTGAGTTGCCCGGGCTGGGCTCAAACTGTCGATCATCCTCCTGTCTCAGCCTCCCAGAAGGCTGGGCTTACAGGCATGCACACCGTGTCTGACTTGAGCTTTAAGTTTTATAAGTAGAGTATTCAGGTCGGAGGGTGTGAGCAAATTAAGATAAAAATATTGAAGCTGCTGGGTTTGACTTCCGAGTCTTCCATTCTGTTTTTCCTTTCTCTTCCCTGGGTCATCGATGATGGCTTTAAAGTCGCTGTTCTTTTTCTGCCTTTCCTCTTAGATTGTGAGTTCCCTGGAGGTAGCATCTGACCTATATAAATCCATGTTTTGCAGGTGTACTCCTGGGATGCACATAGTAAGTGCTCAATAAATACCGGTGAGTGAGTGTGGGGGGGTGGGGTGAGTGGATGTTTGAAGATGAGGTGGTGCAGAGGGCATGGGACAAGCAAGGACAGGTTGAACTGTAGGGCTGCAGTGATTGGATGTGTGGGTGGCAGGAACAAAGCTGCTCGTGTGGCGTTCTTGTCTGTGACGTGGGGATTAGTGACTTGCTCAAAGTCAAACAGCCGGAGCTGAGGCCATCTGGATTTATACCCAGATCTTCCCAGGCTGAGGGTTTCCCGCCTTCCCATGTGCCCCTTGGTATTATCTCCATCCTCCAGAGGCCTCGCCCTCCCCTGTAGCCTGCCAGATGTTTTCTGCCACAGACCGCCTCTCAGGGTTTGTTTTCTGAATTCTGTGTGTTCCTCTCTCTCAGCTCTGCACTGCGGTTTGAGTCCTGGGGGCATTGATCGCCCTGCCCACGCTGAAGGTATTAAACTGCAAATCGAAGGTGAAGGTGTGGAATCTCAATTCATTAAACACAAAAATTTCCAGAAGGTGCCTGATCAGAAAGGAACCCCCAAGGGACTGCAGGGCGAAGCAGAGACGGCTAAGGTAGGTGATAAACCTGCTAAGGAAGCTCAGGCTTTGCTGGTGTGTGTTCCAGCCATGGGGAACTGATGGTGCTGTTGCTCACACTGCTGTACCTTGGGTTCCATGAGCATGGCATCTTTATGATAATTAATAATGGATGAAATTACGCCACCTGCCTCGCAAGTGCAAGGACCCGAGTTCGATCCCCGGTACCAAAAAACAAAAAGGATGAAAATAGAGACAGGCTTCTCTTTGAGTGAGATTGAAACGCATTTGTGCTCAGGCTTGTAGCGTGAGGCTCTGAGCCATGGGATAAGAATGTCTTAGACCTAAAGTTAGAAGACTTATCTCCCCGGCTCAGAGTTACTACTTCACGGTGCTGGGAAAGTCCTGGAACTCTGAGCCACATAGTCTTCATGTATAGCATAGGAATCATAAAAGGATCATAACCCCCGCCCCCAATCAGGCTAAGCAGATCAGGTAATTTTTGTGCTTGAGGAAGCATCAATTTTGTAAAAACTTGAGTATGAGGTACTTCTGCTGACAGATACTGTTAATTGTAATTGACACTTTATGATATCTGGCACTGTTGGAAAGATTCTTGATATGCTGGCTTATTGTGTCCCTGTAGCCAGCCTATGAAGTGGATAGTAATAAACAGGGCCTTAATTAGTGGAAGATAAAATTGCTCTCGTTTGCTGTAGGATACTTAGTCCTTTTTAGTTTTGAGCCTAGTATAGGTGCCCTCAAACTGTAGGATACATTTTAGTAAAGATCCACCAAAATGCGGGTTTCTGGTGGTAGTGATTCTTTGCTGAGGCCAGCTGCTTTTTAAGGGTTTTCTCTGATAGAACTGGCACTGAGGGGTTTCTCTCAGAAATCATTGAAGATCTCATGCATGGTGTTGAAGATTCCATCTTAGTTTGTCTGTTAGAAATTGAGGGAATTAACCTTCACATGGCCTTTTATTTCTCCCCTTGTGTCTCCCTGCAAGAGAATTTCACTTCAAATATTCGTGAAGTGATACGTATATGAGATCCTCTGAAAGGAAGTGTAAGCACCCAAGAAAAACCTGAAGTCGGAAGATCACTTTGCTGTCATACAGTTGATCATCTCCCTTCTCCCCTAAACAACGGCCCCCAGATTAAAATGTGAATCCTTGGCCTGGGATTTAGCTCAGTGGTTTTGCTGCCTGCCTCGCAAGCTCAAGGACCCGAGTTCTATCCCCAGTACCAAAAAAAAAAAAGAAGTGAATCCTTTTTGCTTTATCCACAGTTTTGACTGATCACCATTATTGCCTCCCTTTTTAGCTTTGATAATTAAGATCCAGTGACCTTCATTGTGTTTGTCTGTGTGTGGGGAACCAGCAAGGAAGATATTGAGGGGCTCTGTAGTGGGCATTTTAGCTGCGAGAGATCGGGCCTCACAGGGAACTGGTTGGTGATCACCGAATTTTGGCTTGGGAGCATAGTTGGAAGTTGGTGGACCTTGCTGTGACCTCAGAACTTGGTCAATCTCTGTGCCACACAGACCTCCAGAAAGAGCCGAGAAAGAAATGTTCCCAGGGTTGTCTCACTAGAAAGACAGAATTTGCCTGAGTAGGCTCTTTGCAAAAGGATGCTTAAAATATTAAAAATCAGAGTGGCAAAAAAGCAAATGAATTATTGATATTTATCTGATTTTAATTCAGCTTTAAACATTTCTGGATTCTATCTCTTATTTGTAAAAAAAGAAATTGGAAATATAAAAATTAGATTCAAATCTGATATGATTTGATTACTTTGGGTTATTTTCAATATGATTTCACAGAAAAACTCTGAATTTTGGTTCCATAGCCCTTTGTCTCACTGTGCGGGCTTTAATTGCTTTGCTGATAACCCACGTCACTGATAAGGTGCAGGCCCATATTGAGTCTGTCCTCAGGAATAGACTGAATGCTGGGTCGGAAGCCAGGTGTAGTTTGTCCGTATCCTCTACGTCTGCAGTAATCCGGGACGCAGGTTGAGAGGAGACTGGGAGGAGGTTCACGCTGACAGCACGTTTAGCAGTAAACAGACTGGAAACTTTACGGTAAAGCTTAGAGGAAGTCTGCCCGTTTTCTCGTGGAGGGCTGGATGGCAGGGGTTGTTGCTGGGGACAGAATTGCCCTATAGTGATGACTGCAGTGTCCCACACCCTGAGGTTTCTATCCCCTGGACAGTGTGAACTTGCTTTGTACACGCATGGACACATTTGTGTTTTCTCTCCTCTTGTATTTCGAGGGCTGGTGGAATTGCGAGTCATCTCTTTTCTTGCTTAGGTAATTGAATCCCTGCTAACTTGACCTACTCTAAACTTAACAATAAAACCTCTGGGTAGATGTGCATGCGTTTGAAGCCATTCAGTAATGTGAATTGGTACAGCTTTTCTGGAGAACAGTCTGCGAGTAGTTAGTAGAATTTTAAATGTGGACCATTTGGGGTTAATAAACCCTCTCTGGGAAGTTGTCCTAAGGAAGTAATCAGATATATAAAGCTGGCTGCAGGAGAGTGGTTGCCATAGCACTGATTATAATAAGAATACATTGAAAATAGTCCTGTGTCCACTCTTAGGACAGCGACTCAAGAAAGGGCCTGTATTGGTGCAGTGGGATGAGCTTTTCCTTTGCTCCAGTGCCAGAGACCTGGCTGGATTTATCTGGAGAAATGTATGGGGTACTGTTTTAAAGTGGGGAGGGCAGCAGAGGGGCAGGGTGCCGCAGTGTGCTTGTGTGCCCATTGGTGTCAAAATGTCCTTCTCTCTGTCCGTGACTCCGACTTCCTGCTTCCAGCAGTAGTTCCTGGCGGCCGTTGAGATGAGGAGGGAAGCTTTCACTTTCAGCACTGCTGTTTTATGTGAATTTTTTAAAAAGATCTGCATTCTTTCCAGTACATCTAATTTAAAGCCCTTTTCAGATTTCCCTGTTCACTTTATTAAGCCAGTCGTGGCTTTTCCTGTTTGTGGGGTTGGTAGTCTGCCGTTCAGCGTGCAGGATTTCTTCCCGTGGCTCTCGTTGTTGCTGGGGAGTTCATTTGCCAGTAGCGAGCTGTTGTGGAGTCTTTTTGCTGCCTGTGACCCTCATCTGCTGAGGTACTTTGCCGTTTGTCTCTGCCTGAGCTCAAGGATTCAGCAGCTCTGATCAGGCATCACAGTCGTGTTTCAATTTGCTGTTCTTCTTTGCTGTCACCCGGTTATGGAGACCCAGTCCCCCACGGATACCCAGAGAACCTCGCTCCGGGTCCCTTTGGCCCTGGGGCTCTGGCGTTTGATTTGACACCAGCCCTTCTACATAGCACCCATCCCGATGCCATCATCCATAGCGAGCTTCATGCCACCTTTCTGCTGTGCTTTTCTGACACCAAGAGATTTCTCTTGCTTGATTTCAAACTTGGCTTTATGTAAGTTTTAAAGTGTATTTTCTAGTATTTTTGAGCAATATGAGAGCCTGAGCAATATGAGCAATATGAGAGCCTTGTCTCAATCTGAAATCTGAAAAACCTGAGTAGGCTTAATCTACCATATTGTCTCTGCTGTTTGTATTGGTTTCACAATTTAAAAAAATTACATACACACACACCCCTATGTGCATCTTCATGTCTACTCTCAGAGAGTTAATTCTTCTTGCTTTTAGAAAGTAATTTGGGGACCACTGGTCTCCACTGCACCAGAAACACAGAACCCTAATTCTGAAAGAGGTTATGGCCACAAGTTGCCCACCCACAACTCCTACAGACCAAAGAAAAGCTAAGAGAGTGCCCAGCTCTTCTTTGGATTTAATATTGTGTAGCCTTGAACCTACTTGAAAAAAAATGAATTCAATTAAAATGTGAATCTGCAAAGGATATATACCACCCCCTAGTCCTGAATGCCATGAGTGCTTGGGAAGCCATGTGGAGAGCACACCATGGAAGCTGTGGTTATAAACTGAAGATCCAGAGACTGCGCTTGCTTAGCTTTACGGGTTGGTACAAGGCAAGAGATATGGTAGACACAGCACTCTCATCTCATAGGGAGCCCAGATGTTATCCAGGGACACAGCTTGTTTTGTCCCCTCACCTGCATGGAACCTGTACAGCTGCCACAGATGCGAGGATGAATCTCTGACACATCAGAAGGCACAACATTCTTCCCACCAGTGGTTCATACCATTCTAGTCTTCCTAGCCCAAGACCAAGTCATACCTCCTGCAGACCAGGTGCAGGTCCATGTAGCACTATCCAGAAAGTAACCCTATGGGGGAATGGGTCCTTTCCAGACAGCACCAGCCCTGAGGTTAGTTGTCCTGACTTCTCTGTGAGTAAAGGGTAAGACTGCCGGGGAGGGTTTTAGCACAAGGAGAATCTGACCTGTGCTCTGAAATATGGGTAAAACGCTAAGCATGGAAGGCCTCCTTAGCAGTGAGGCCTGAGCATCTCAGCCCAAGGTGTGGCAGTAGAGATGGTTTCTTAGAGTCAGGGTTTATGTTATGGAAATTGAGGCCAAATCCTTTGGCTGGACCCAGATGTATGGGGCTGAATGCCAAGGTGAAAAACATGAACTTACTTTGTACTGGCATTAGGCAGTATGGTAGCCATTGGCTACATGTGGCTGTTTAAATTGATTAAAATTGTATAAAATAAAAGGCATCATTTCTGTGACAGTGCCAACCACGTTTTAGGCACTGAGTCACCGTATGTCTCCAGGCAACATTTGGACAGGATAAACACAAAACACAAATGTCATGGCAGAAAGTTGTGTTGGACAGTCCCCAATCTTATCTGGAGAAACTACTGGGATTCTTCAGGTATAGGAATAAGGTGAAAGATGAAGTTGCTGACATTTTCTCTGACTCTTTTCCTTGGACCTGGCTGGACATGTGCTTCAGTCATAAAAAGCAAGTTGTCAGAATAATTAGAAGTCTGTTCCTAAATGCTCTGATGGTCGGGATCTGGGTTTCCATGGCAACTCTGGCTGTGGAATACCATCAGCCCATCAGCAGGCAGTACCCTGGTTGTTTTCCATTT